AAGTAAAAAAGGGGGGGTTTGTGATTGGTGGAGAAGAGAAAAGGGTATTTCGGTGTCGAAAAGCAGGATGAAGGAGGCATCTCCTATTTAAGTCAAGATGCTTTATTGGCTGGCTATTGAAAAAGTAAAGTTGTTGTTTGAACAACGGTTTAAGGAATTTACAAATGAGGAACTGAAACAGTCAAAAAAAAAATAGAATTCAATTCAACAAAACAACCTATATTACTTTTTTTTAAATATTGAATAATATTTTTTTTCTTCCGCATGACTTAATGTAGTAGTAGTACAATTTTCTATACTGGACTGGTCCAATGATCCGTTATGGACGGTGTGGACTGTAACGTGATGTTTTGCTGCCTTTTGAAAATCTTTTTTAATAATCGAATTAAACAGCCTTTTCATAATCTACTAAAAATCTACAAAAACCTATTAATTTGTTCAAACCTTTACATAAATTTAAAGAAATTTAAGTGCCAGGAGTTTAAATTTAAGGGGGGGTTTTTTCTCTCTTCGAACTTTAGTAGATAAAACACATAAAACATCAAGATCAATTGCATCTTGCTTATTTGCTACACTTGTTAGATAATAATAATGTTTTTAGTTCATTGTTTGCCAAATAAATAAAAAACGGCAACATTATCAAAAAAAAAATCTTTAATTAATTCCAAATTTTATTAATAATTGATTAACTTTCTCTTGATAATCTTTTAAAATCTTATTTATAATAATTGATTTGTTACTTTGTTGTTGTTGTTGTTGTTGCTGCTGCTGTTGGTTATCCTCTTCTATACTAGATTCAAAATATTCTTTAGTGAATATTTTATCAAATGTTAAATTTGCTAATTCTTTCTCTAGATTCTTCAATTCTTCCAATAATGGATTATTTTCAGTAATCTTCTTTTTATTTTGTATCACAATTAATGTACTTTTTTAAATCAGCAAGTAATATGATAAAGGTGATTAGCATTAATAACATTATTAATCTTCTATACCAGAAAATAAAAGACTCATACTTTAATAAACCTCTTAACCTTCCCAATTCTTTACCAACATTAAAGCCTTCGGAATATCCTTTATCAAAACCTTCTTGTATTGTCATATCTTTACCTTCGACAATTCCTTCTTTATACCCAACCTAAGATACATAAATACATATAACTAAAGAAACTTAATAATGATATGATTATGATTATTACATACATTTCCAAAATTTTCATTTAATCTTTCCCATTCTTTTGATGATACTTTTTTTTCAAAAATTATATCATCTTCGTCCGAAACCCATACATCCTCAGTATCCACCATTCTTAATTTTGAAAAATATATTAATATGCAATTTTTATTGGGAGTC